AAAAAATAAAATTACCAAAATACACTCCGAAATATTTCGGGGGTATTTTGATCAATTTTTTTCATGTAAAATATTTTTTTGATATTTTTCCCCTATTTTTTATGAACACATGCCTAAAATTTCAAGTGATTTGGATTTGTAGACAAAAAACTAAAATTCAAACACTACCTGACATCCATGATCGTCAGATCGGTCCAGATTCAATCTGGAATGTTGGGCTCATATGTTCATATGAGCTAGTGGGCTAATCACATCTTTTTCCTATATATATATATATATATATATTCTCAAAAATAAAGAATTTGATTTGTAATACATTTTTAAATATTCTTTACATTATGGTAAAGATTAAAAATTGTTTGGTCATTAATACTCACTATTATATTTTCCTATATTTTTCAAAAAATTTTAAAAGTAGCCCTAGGAAAATATAAAATAGGTTAAAATCTATTTTTTTCAGTAATTTTCAACTTCATTTGAATATGTTTTGTTTTAATCATTATTTATATGTTTTTTATATTTTAATAGATTTTTTTTTTGTATCTTTTTTAGTTTTTTCAACACTTTTTTGACCGCCCAAGACTTGCCTCGATTAGAGCAGTTGAATCGGTTGGTTTACCGGCTAGGCCAGTTAAACTGCTTCCAGGCTCATGTCCGGTTAAACATTTCGGTTCGATTTTGTGAACACTGGCTTTGGCCCAACATCTTAAGTTCGATCTAGACTAGGGCAACGGGATCCTGGCCGATAGGGTTGGCAACTTGCCAGGCGTAGGCTAGCCAGACATGGCCCTAGGCCACTATAGTGCCTATAGGCTTGCTCAAGCCCTGGCCCTGGCCCTGGCCTTTAACAAGGTCAGGGGCCAGCCCTATCACAGTCCTGACCCAAGCCCAGCTTCACCTGGGGTTAGGCCATGGTGGCCTGGCCCTCCTGCCATAATTTATGGCCAAGGTTTTTTTGGGACGACTGGCCAGCCCATTGTCAGCTCTGGTACCTAGGTTCGGGTAGGGTTGGACTTAGTGGATTCCTTAAAATAAAAGCAAAGGGGAAATACTGGGATTGAGCCCATCCGCCCACAGCCAGCCCGCGGGTCTAGGTGCTGCGCCCAACCGTGAGGCCCTAGTTTTTCAAGGCAATCAAATTGGATTCAAGGTCATTTTGTCGGACATTTTGAATGCTCTCTTCGACAGCCATTGAATTATTCGAAGGACGGTGATGAGGTGACAAGGGACCCACCGCATCTTTCCTCATCGTCGTCCATCAATTAATTTCTACGGTGATAACACCTGTTATTTGTCAGTATTTTCTATACTTTCCTCTTTTGACAAAAGATGATACACGTCGAACTTTTTACACGTATTTCGTTGACAAATATATCTAAAAAATTTATCCATTTTTTCACCTACCCATAAGCAACGAATATTACGTCCCCAACGCCTCGATATTCTCCCTTTCTCTCTAAAAAAGTCCGGTCCTTTTGCTCATCAGTTCAGTACTTGAAAGAAGATAACGCTCCTTAAATACAGTGAAAATCTTGTATTTTTGAGCTGGTTTTGCCTTCAAAATTGGCTGGAACTGGGGTTTGTCACGCTGGTTTTCGAGGGAGAAACTGCAAAGGAAAGGTTTGGGCTTTTGATCCTGGGTTTTTCGCGCCCTAGTTTTGCGTAAATGGTTGGAATTAGGGCTAGCTGGGATCAAAATGGTATTTTTTTCTCATTTTCTGGAGTTGTATGAGAAATTCTTTTTTGGTCTTCGTTCATTGTTTGATTTGTTTATTGCTGCTATTTTTTAAACTTTTTCTTGAATATCTGTTCATTGATTCTTATCTATTGTTCTTCTTTCTGTGTTATGCTTATATACAACTCTTGATGGATCATATGGGTTCTTAATATGGGTAAATGCGCATCTTTTCTTCTTTTGAATGCTTCATTTGATCTTATATTGGGGACCATGAAAATCTCTTGATTATGATGTTTTCTGTTAGATTTAGGGTTTCATTTCAATGTTTCCTATTGATATAGCGCTGATTTACGGGGGAATTTTACTTGGGTTTCTTCTCTTATATGCAATGGATTTTGGTGCACAATGAACTAAGTTATTTTAAGTGATGATTCTGATATGTTTGTTTTTTTTTTTAAGGTTGTATGCCATTTATTTATTGTGTATTGCATGATTATGGTGTTTCTGTTAGGGTTTCATTTCAATGTTTTTTATTGATATAGAGCTGATATATGGTGGAATTTTACTTGGGTTTCTTCTCAAATATGCAATGGATGGATTTTGGTGCACAGTGAACTAAGTTATTTTAAGCGATAATTCTGACATGTTTGGGGTTTTTTTTTAAGGTTGTATTCCATTTATTTGTTGTGTATGTTGTGTGATTATGTCGTTAGGAAGTTTATGGGGAGATATATGACTCTTTGCAAAAGTTTTGCCTTTTATTGATAGAATGCCTTGGTTAGGTACAGATAAAGGAGATGATTTTTCATATTGAAATTGCCTTTGAATACCATTGCAGTATTAGTATTGTGATTAGAAAACCAACCCAGGTACGCGGTTCCTTCATCTGATGCTAAAATTGGAAGTCATAAAGTCGTACACAAAAAAAGGGTTGGATGGGTTTACATATAAAATGTTTACCTTAGTAATAATATTTAATGGGTGAGGTTTGTATAAGGTGTCAACCTTAAAACAATCATGGTAAGGTGCATCTCAAAATCTCATTAAAAGATGTATTTTTGGTGCCAAACTCTTATCATGGCCTAAAGTCTATTTTTCACCACTATGATGAAATTGAAAGTTCCGAAAGTGGTGAAAATCTTGCAGATCTATGAGCACTCAGAAATCTTGAAAATGGACGGTCTAGATAATGTGTTATAAGATGGACTAATTTTAGGACTTGAAATTGATTTTTTCCTTCATATTCATATATATTGAGATCAAGATGATCAATTGGAGAATTTTCTAGTGATTAAACAACCTTTTTCAATGGGTTTTCGAGGTGCACCTTACTTCTACAGTATGAGGTTGACACCTTATATAAACTTTTTCCATATTTAATAGGTGTTCAGAATTTTGGTATTTAAGTGGAACTTTCACTGGTTTGAGAGGACATATTTATTCCATTCATTCAAATTTTCAAGAAAATGCAAAAAGTTATGTGTTCCTTCTTGTATTGGACAAAGTTTATTATTTCTTAGATTGTGTATATTTTGAGGATTGAATTTGTATCTTAGATTTTATATTTGATGACGAATACATGTTCTTTTTCTCAAAAAATTTTAGCAATTGCAAGCAATCGCTTTGAGATTGTGCTCTTCTCAATGAAAGAGAAGCAATTATTTTGTTTATTTAATGCGGTTTGGCATGAAGGGGTGTATATAACATGATCCTTGGATTATATTTGGGGTGTTTCCTTTTCATTCTGAAGTGCTTCTGATTTCATCTTGAATCTCCTTATTTGCAGGTTCATGAATTTATCTTGTGAATGCATTTACCTTGTTATGTTACGTAGATTGATGTAGGTGTAGTTATGCTTTCTTCAGTTTGGTTTACCCAACAAGTTTTTAACAAATTTTCTATTGAATTTTGTTCAAAACAAGAAACTGTTACCAAGTCTATAATTGAGCTTTGCATGGTAACCTCCAAATATAAAAAATAAAAATAAAAATAAAAAGCACTTTGCATGAGTGTTTGTAGCTTCTGCTTAGACACCTATAGACATATTCATCAGCAACTTGACAAGTTGCCATTATTTACTGTTGCTTATTCGAAATGATTCTTGTTGGCAGCTATGTTCCAGCATTGATGCCCTCTTCCATTTCTCTCCTATGAAAAACACAATTTAGAGATAAACCCTATGGCCTCTTCCTTGCATGAAGTGGCCCCTCACCCCAACTTCTCCCACATTTTATCAAACACCAATTGGGAAGAAGTGACCTGTCCCATCTGCCTTGATTTCCCTCACAATGGAGTACTCTTTCAATGCTCCTCCTACGAAAAGGGGTGCCGCCCCTTTGTTTGCGACACCAATTATACACACTCAAACTGTTTCAACCGATTCATGAATGCATACCAGGTATCCTCAAACCCCACTCAATCTGAAAACGTTAGTGGGACCCTCAACTTGATATCTCCAGGTTCTGAGGAACACCCAGTTTGCCCACTATGTAGAGGACAAGTTTCAGGTTGGGTTGTTATTGATTCAGCTCGGACTGAGCTTAATGCTAGAAAAAGGCGTTGTGAAGAGGAGAAATGCTTGTTTCTTGGGAATTATACTGAACTTTCGGAGCATATGAAGCTTGAGCACCCTCATGCTCGACCATTAGAGATAGACCCTGCTCGCCGTCTCGATTGGGAAAATTTGCAACAAAGTTCAGAGATCATTGATGTATTGAACACCATACACTCAGAGGTTCCACATGGGGTGGTTCTCGGAGACTATGTTATCGAATATGCAAGTGTTGAGGCTGGTGATGATTATGATGATTATCATGGAGAAGAGGGGCATTGGTGGATATCTTGCATTTTTGACCCAATTTTGAATTTAAGGGCGACGAGAAATAGGAGGAGGGGGCGCAGGCATTCAGACCCTGGTGATGCTTCAAGTGTTGCAGGGGGTTCTAGTGACATTGGTGGGTATGGATTGGATGAAACAGATGATGAATACATGGCTTCTTTTAGTTCTAGGAGGTATAACAGTTCTCGAAGGTCAGTTGCCAGACTCCTTTTCCTTTGTTTCTTCTTCTTTTGTATTTTTTTGGAGCACAATTCTATATTATTGGGAAGTAAACTATGGTCTAGTAGACTGTGGAAACCATGGTCCATTGGATCATGAGTATTTGACGGCATGGGTGACAATGGAGAAAGTGGAACCGACTGGAATTGTACAACCCCGTTAGTGGGTCCCACTTTCTCTCCATCACCACCATTATTTCATTTGAGAGTGATGATGGTTTTCTATACTATTCTGGAATATGGTATAATTTTTTATTTCTGTGTTAATTTCTTTGTTTCTTCTTCTTTTGTATCTTTTCGGTAGAACACAATTCTATATTATTGGGAAGGATACTATGGTCTAGTAGACTGTGGAAACCATGGTCCATTGGATCATGACTATTTGAAGGCATGGGCTGCAATGGAGAAAGTGGAACCAACTGGAATTGTACAACCCCATTAGTGGGTGCCACTTTCTCTCCATCAACACCATTATTTCACTTGACAATGATGATGGTTTTCTATGCTCCACTTGAATATGGTATACTTTTTTATGTGAGTCACACCCCACGTTATGCCA